GGTGCTGTGGAACAAGGGGGAGGCCACTGTGTCGCTCTGTGAAGGCACGGTACGTACTGGAAGCTGTGTGGACTTCCCCTCAATTAAAAAAAAATAGGAAGAAGGAAGAAGAAAAAAGGGCAGAACTATAATACAAAATTTATGATCGGGAGGTACAGACACTCTACTCATTGCTGATAAAGTGGCCAGGGGCCTGACTGTGACAGAGTGCTGGCGGGAGAGCTGGTGTACATGGCACCTCACTGATAGCAGCAGTCCCTCCCAACCCGCCCTTGGCCTGGTAGAGGTGGAAACTGAGGCCCTTGGCCTTTCAGTTAGTAACTTCCTGTTCCTCAAACAAGCCAGCCACACTGCCCCGGGCAGGCACTGACCTTTGCTGAGCCCCCAGCTGGGGATGGACTTCCTGCCAGCCAGCACTCTTTTCCATAGCCTTCTTTCCTGAACGGCTTCGTGACCTCCTTCTAATAGGTCTTTCCTGAGAGCCTCCCTCCACTTTCAAAGAGGACCCCACTTCCCCACCAACATCTACCCCCACCCCCACCCCCCTTGCTCAACCTCGTTTTTGCTCTGGATTAAAAACCAACCCACCCGTGGCCCTCCAGTCCAGTCTCACTCTCAGGGACCTCTCAGAGGGCAGGGAAGAGCCCCACAGGGCTGCTGGGGCGGTTAATCTTTGCAGGAGTGGGCGGCCTTGTCTTCCTCCCATGTGGTCGAACCGCTGACCTGTGGGTTAGCAACCTAATACGTAACCCACCAGGGCGCCTTTCTTCAAAGTGAATCACTATTATCTAGTGACACAATTCTTTCTGTCGCCTCCCTTCAAGGGAATAGGGGTGCTTGTGAAATTGGTGACTGCCGTAACTCCAGGCACACACCAGAGGCCCAATAAATACTTGAGAAATGAATAGGCAGGACTTGACCTTGAGCTGGGCTGGCTCTTTTGGGAGGGCAGCCTGGGAGTTTTAGGCCACCTCACCAGACATGAAATTACCAGAGCTAAGTACCACTTGTTGGCAGGCCATGGCCAAGTGTCACCATGTTCACAAATTGTTCCCTGTGTGGTCCTCCGGTCCCCCAGAGCAAGGCACCTATCTGTGTATCTCTGGCTCTCAGGCTTGGGGGTGAATTGGTCCATTTGATGCCGGTAAGGTAAGAAATGATTGAGTCTGAGCGATATCCACACAGAGGAACAGGAGATGGCGCACATCTGGGTCCCACCCTGGACGTCTCGCTGGGCGGGGAGCCCGGGAGGAGAGTGTGCGCAGGGGTCAGAGTCCAAGGAACAGTGTGACATGGCCTCTGGGGCCCCATGCAGGACTCAGAACCTTGTATGATGAATTCTCCTTCCCAGGGGAAGGGTGAGGCTAGTCCCTCTCCAGCTGGAGACACCCAACAGGGTTGAGGGTCCTCGAGCGATAGCTGCTAGCCCGCGGGGTCTCAGGGGCCACCCTAGAAAAAGGTGGCTAGCTTCCTGTAACACCTGACTCAGGTAGCCACCGCACGGGATGGAATGGCACCAGGTACTGAGCAAAGCCTGCTCTTGGCTCCGCTTCCTCTGTGGACCTGCGGTTCTACACCCAGCCAACGTGCTGCTCTCGCCCGAGGCCACCCTCCCCCCCACTCAGCCAGGCAACAAGACAGAGGAGAACTGCTCCCTAGATTTCGGAGACGGTTGCTCGCTACAGGAGCAGAGAGCCTCCTCTTTGTCCTGAGGGGCACATGGTGGATTCCAACTGCTGACCTTCTCAGTAGCCCAATGTGTAGCCCCCTCTGCCCCCCAGGACTCCTGTTGCATATCTAAGGGCAGTGTAAAAAGTGCAAACAGACTCAGCCCAGGAGAAACAGCATCTGTCCCTTCTGACCACTGCCGTGGGGATTAGCCCGACCCCTTTGAAAATCCTACTGTCATGGGGCCGATGCTGACTCCAGCGACCCCGTGGGACAGAGCAGCACCTCTCCATGGGGTTTCCGAGGAGCTCGCCTCAGTGGGGGCAGCCTGCCTCATCTTTGCCCCATGGAGCGACTATGGGTTCCAACCACTAACCTTTCAGTTAGCGCCGCGTGCTTTAATGACTCTGCTGTCAGGACTCCTTAGATGTCACAAAGATGACCTGCTGTCAGACACATGGCCCGTCCCCTGACCTCACATTAATGGGACGGAGAGATTTTCAACACTGAAGAAATCATGCAACGGGTGTGTGTGTGTGGGGGGGGGAGGTCCTTACACTGAATCTGGGGGGCATATAGCAAGCTACGTAGGCAGTGGTACACACAGACACTCACACACACACCCCTTTTCTAAGCACCTTCCCCATAACGTGACAATATGTCCACAGCGCATAGCTCCAAACTCAAGCCAGTAATTCAGGACCAAGCGAACCAAACAAGCAAAGAAGCGGCCCAGCGGCTTGTTCGGAGCGGCCTTTACTTCTGTCACTTTCTGTGGCCCGTGTTCTAGTTCCTTGTCACTTGTCCTGCTCACAGCTGGTGACAGCCTGCCTCTGTCCTACCTGCCTGTGACCCTCCTCCCTGCGGCGCTCACGCATGGGGGGCACACTGCTTCTCTCGTTTCCCGCCGCAGGAAGCGGAAAGACCCACGTGGCAGGCAGAGCTGGGCGTGGGCGGTCTCTTCTGTCGCCAACGTTCGCAGTCACGAGGCCAGGGCCAGACACGGGTTCAAACGTGCCATGCAGGGCAGGGACCAAACCGAGGCACACCTGGTGGGGGAACAGAACAGCGGGGATGAACATCAGTAGAGCTTGGGGGCAGGGGACCAGGGCCGGCTGGCGTCCAGAGGGCGTCTAGCTCCCCAGCTCTTGTGGGAATATGGGCCCAAGGTGGCCAGCACTTTTACTTTTTTATTTTCCCCCCAGAAAAAGACCAAAACGCAGGTTTGAATGCAAAATCTCTCAATTGTCAAGGGTTGGTTCTAAAAGTACTCTGTGGGGGGAACCTAACCGGCCCGTGGGCTGATGTGGTGCCTGGCAGCCTGTTTGTGTAGGTTGGGGCGCAGTGGGTGGTCCTGGTGGGTTCTAGGCCCTAGCCCCTGAAACTGCTCCCGGGGGTGGTCCCTTCACTCACACTGAGGTTACAGCTGCTGAGTCCCTGGGGTTCCAGTCTACACCCACCCCACACACACACACACACACACACTCACTGCCAGTGCCTGCTGTCCCTCAGATGGACAGATCATGCAGGGCCTCAACTGCCTGGTCTGTGAAATGGGGGTGATAATATGATCCCTTATCAGGGGACCCCATCACAGAATAAGCACGTAACAAGACACAGCAGCTCCTGTGATCTTGTCAGAATGCGCCGTAGGGGCGAGGATGGGAGACTGTGATCTCAGGGAAGACCAGGCCCCAGGAGGAGGACATCATGCTGGGCAGAGCAGAGGTCCGGTGACAGACTGTGGGGTTGCACATAACATTTGTGAAGCCGGGGCGGGAGCAGGCAGGGGGTCAATTCTGCTGTACGTGGGGTCACGCACGTTGGCACCGATTTACCGGCACCCAGCGACGAGGTCATCATCTCTTAGTCCCACACCGCCTTCTTCCTCCCCACCAGCAGATCCTGCCAAAACTCTGGACCCGGGCCTCCGGCGGCCACCCCTGCCGCCTGCCTCACCCCCGCCGCCTGCCTCCACAGCCGGGTCCTCACTACCCTAAAGCCTGTGGTCGGCAAGGTGTCCTGCTTGCTGATGAGGACTGCCCTGTGGGGCAGGATAAGGTATCTAAGTGAATGCGGAACTGGCGGCCTCATTGCCTATCACCTCCGGAACAGAGTCTGAAGTCCTTCACCCTGCATTTGAGGCGAGGAGCCCTGGGGACAAAGTGGGGGTAGGCGCTGGGCTGCTCATTGCAAGCTCAGCAGTTTGAAACCACCAGCCGGCTCCGAGGGGGGAAGCTGAAGCTTTGTACTCCCACGTACAGCCTCAGAAGACCCACAGGGGCAGTTCTCCCCTGTCCTGTAGGGTCGCCATGGGTCGGGACGGGCTCCATGATGAGCTCCTGCTCTGGCCCTGCCTCCGCTGGCATCGGCCTCTGCCCTGCTATTCTTTCTGCTTGCCCCACAGGGCAGTTCCTGCACGGGGCTTTCTGGAGCCAGTCCCCCGCCAAGGCGCCCTCGCTGCCAGCCTTAGCTCTCCCCAGCACAGCACCCTGTGCCGATCCCCTGCTCCTGTCCCCACCACTCGGCTACACCGGGGAGGAGAACCTGGCCTTGAGGACGGTGTGCACTCGCAGCTGGCACAGGGGGTGGGGCGGTGTGGGTGGAATGAGTTCATGAGACCCACCAAAAAGGCATTTTAACAATATCCAAACCATGTCGCTTTTCTCTGAACTCGTTCTGTTGCACGAGATGAGGGTTTTCGGGAACAGGGAAAGAAAAAACTCAAACAACAACCACCGTCATTTCAGCCAACGGCTCAAGTGAGAGGACATGATGGCCACATATGTACAAATGTGCTTGCTACAGTTGATGCACGGGTTGTTATAAGAGCAGTGAGAGCCCCCAATAAAACTATTTTTACAAAATCAGACCAAGTCCACTGCCACGGAGTGGATTCTGGCTCCCGAAATCCCATCAGGGGTATCTGAGACATGGGTCTTTATGGGAGCAGCCAGCCTCGTCTTTCTCCTGGGGAGCAGCTGATGGATTTGAACCATTGACTGCCCGAATCCACCAGCCCACCCGCAGCCCCCACCGCCCTCACCATGTACATTACGGTGGACTTCAGGGGGAAAGAAAGGGGCGTTACTGTGAGCCCTTACAGACGCTGTCCTTTGTTCCGGTCTCTGCGTCCCGGTTATCTCCGTGACCTGGGTGGAGTGCGGCTGACCTCACAGGAGGAAGCGGGCACCCAGCCCCAGGTCGACTGGTGTCTGCAGAGCACGACACGGTGCAACTGGCGTCCACGCACCACCTCTGCGACAGGGCCCAGTCTGCTCGGTCAGTTCTGGCCCGGAAATGGAGAGAAGCCACGGACCCCTGGGCTTTCAGAGCCAAAGGGGGAGAGCAGGGGCGGGCGGGGTGGTGGTGACCTCGGGTGCACGGAAGAAGAGCTGGGGAAGAAAAGAAAGACCGTTGTTTGGGGCGTTCCTGCTCTGGAGGAAAACTCTCTCTGAGGGTTCAGGGAGCAGCCCCTGAATGAATGGCAGGGTTGTTGGAGAGCCCAGTCCCCCCTCCCCAGCCTCATCCGCCCCCGGGAGGGCGGACCTTGCATTGCAGGCAGGAGGCGGGCTGGTCGAGCGGTTCGCAGGGTGGAGGCGGCCAGGCTGCCTGCACTTGGTGGCTCTCTGCGGGAGAGCGAATGAAGACTGGTTCTCTCACGGGGCTGCAGGGCCGGTGCCCAGAGGGAGGGCGTGCTGGCTCAGGTTGGCCGCTTCAATTACTCTGATGATTACAAGAAGGGCCATAAATGGTAAAGCTTATGACTGTCGAGAGCTGCCCGTCCTCCCAGGCTGGGTCTGTCTGCAGCTTATCTTTACAGCTGCCCACACCTCAGAGCTAGGGTCGGAGTCCCCAGAGAACGGAGGAAGGGAGCTAGTTGTCAGGTTCTGATCCCTCAAAAAGTTGATATAGCAGAGCCCGCAAGAGGGAACCGAGGACGCTTACCCAGAAGGCCAGGTCAGGACACCAGCTCAATCCTAACAGAGGATCTGGACGCCCTGAGGGCTAGGCCGCAGGGAGGCCACGAAGGAGCAGGTCTTCAAAAACCGAGGGACAGAGCTGGTCCATCTTGAATTCAAGCCTCAGGAGTAAGTGTAGGACAAGGGCCTTATCAGACATTTCACCAAACACATGTGAGAGACAGCCAAGGAACAGAGAACATTCTTAAAGCAGTTGAGTGCCCCTAGGTACCAGTGCAGGTAACCAAGCAGACCCTGGGGCTGCCCTCTGGGAGTGCCCACTCACGAGGGGACAGACAGATGAGAAGCCACCTGTCGAGTGCTATGCAGAGAAACCAGGGCCTCTGGTTCCCTCTTCCATCAAGAACCCCAGCAACGAGAGGCCAACGCAAGGACAAATCCAGGACAGGGGCATCTATAAGCAAACGGGCCCAAATTCTTCCAAAAAAAGCGAGTGAAATGAAACAAAACGGGGGAACTATCCTCAGAGGATTATCCCCATCACCCTTCCTGGGCCCGTGGGTCAGAGAAAACAAGTTGTCCGAGTATCCGGCATATTTTGGGGACAGTGAAAGCCATTTGTATAGGAACTGAAAGATCCTAGGGGAGGCGTCTTGATGTACGGAGGGTAAAGGTGCCTCTTAGGAAATGCTTGCTGGGGCCGAGAGGGTAATGCAAATAGGACAAGCCTCCGAGGACTGCCAGAGTAGATAAGCATGTTCACGTGCTCGCTGTTCTCATCTTGCAACTTGTCTGCGTGAGTTCAGATGGTCAAGATCAGAAGTTTGAGAGTGAGCAAGCTACGGAGGGGGGTGGACCCATTTCCTGGGGCCGCTGGACTTGTGTTTTGGTCAATGGCGTAACCATTTCCACCCTGAAAACTTCACCCAGAAAAGAAAGCCACGTCCTCGTGGGAGGGACTGAAACGAAGGCTGGCCCAAAGGGGAAAAGCAAGCAACTTGCTATTTGGTTGGTTCTGTCTCCCAACAGCCTTCTGGGACACACTAGAACCGGCCCGGGCTTTCCAAGGCTGGGCATCTTTATGCGCACCTCCTGTTTCTCCTTGGGAAGAAGCTCATGAGGGGTTCAAACTGACCACTTATTGGCGAGCCCCTGAACCATCGCGCGATCAGTGTGCCTTACAATCAAGAACAATCAAAATGTAGTGGTCAGGCACGTTTGGGGGGATTAAAGACTCAGAGCCTGGGAGACCCACAGGGGCAGTTCTACCCCGCCCTTGAATCGGCTCAATGCAGTGTTTGGATTGTTTAGATGCTGGTGGTGGGTGAGGGTGGTGGGGGTGAAGCGGGCAGGAAGACACCACGCTTAGGGGACACTGGGCTTCTTCTAAGAATGAACATGAACATGATGTCACTGAACTACACCTGGGAAGACTGTTAACACGAAAATGCTTTCGAGGACCATTGGCGACCTGTCTATTTATGGCAATAAAACAAAATGTACAAACCACCACCAAGGACCAGACATTGTCTGATCCCACTTAAATATTCTATAGGGAAATTCAGTGAGACAGAGAGTAGGTTAGTGGTGGCTGGGCCCATGGGAGGAAAATGGGAGGTTCTTGCTTAGTGAGCAAGAACTGTGGGGTGAGGAAAAGGATTTGGGGAGGGGGGAATGGTGTGGCATTGGTAAGTACATCAAATCATGAATGCCACCAAAAGGGACACTTAAAAATGGCTCAGATGGCGATTTTAATGTTACCTATCATTTACCACTTTCTTCTTTTTATGCCAAGGGTGGCAATGACAGATCCAGCTAATGGAGGCAAGCCTCAAGGTGATGCTACCTGATGTGGACCTCAGGGGAGTGCTAGGGAAGTGCTCAAACAGGGGAGCCTGATTCTGGATACAGTTTTCAAGAGACCCGTCAGATCAGACCGTAACAGAAACCGGGAAGGAAATGACTTTGAAAGAAACCCACGAACATAATCACCATCATGGGCTTGGGCCTGTTTGTCTTCGGGAACCTTTCTTGGGTCTCCTCCTCCTCTTGTTACTGGCACCCCACATTCTTCTGCAGGGACCTCAACACACACCCTCAGCCAGAACCCTGCTTGGTTGGCTCCTGTCAGCTTGTCTCCTTCTGCAATCCACGCCTTTCTGACATCCTGCTCAGGTCTCCGTTCTCCTCCGGAACCAGGTTTCATGGACCCAGTCTTGTGTTTAAATCCTTCCAGAGCAGCCAAAACCCATTCCTCCACACATTTTCCCAGATCTTCAATCGCCCTTCACCAAGAAACCGGGAGCCACTCTTCCTCGATCAACCTTGTCAGCCCACATTTCCATTCTCAAAATGCACCCATCCTTCTTTGCTTTCCTCGACCCCCCTCTCCACCTTCATCCCCAGGAGCTCTTTTTAAATTTATTGCCACCCTTCTGTCTTAGGCTCAGTCTCTCCTTTCTTTTCAGTCCCTCTCCCTCCCCCCTTCCCCCCCAGCCGTAAGCCGTTCTTGGTGTAATATTTCCTTCTGCAGCCGCTACTCTTTCAACTTCTGTCCTCTGTCTCATTATAGGTACTGTGACCTGGAGCGTTCTTCTCCTCCCGAGAAACCAACTCATCAGCAATATCCGTCACATCAAGCAAGATGACCCCGTCAACGTCCACATCTTCTGCAGTCCCTTCTGGGTCCTCAGCACTTCCCTCCACATGGTCTGAAGAGATTTCTTCCATGGGATCATTCCCGGTCAACTCAGTCACTCTTTCCACAGTCTCACTTATGTCCTCCAACTTCTCCTCACTGGTGCCCAGCTTCTTATCACTGGTTTCCAACGTCTCACTGTTGATCACCAGCTTCTCCCAGCTGGTCCTCAGCTTCTCCCGACTGGTACCCACTGTATCTCCAGTGGAAATCAAATCGTCTCCACTGGTCCTCCGCTTCTCTGCACTCGATCGTGATCCCTCTCCTCTGGACCCCTGCCTCTCTCCCTTGAAAGCCCTTTCTCCACTAACCTCCAGCGTCTCTGCACTGGATCCCCGCTTCTCTGTACTCACCCCCAGCTTCTCTGCACTGGATCCCCGCTTCTCTGTACTCATCGCCAGAATCTCTGCACTGGACCCCCGCTTCTCTGTACTCACCCCCAGCTTCTCTGCACTGGACCCCCGCTTCTCTGTACTCACCCCCAGCTTCTCTGCACTGGATCCCCACTTCTCTATACTAGCTCGTTTCTCTGTACTGGATCCTTGTTTCTCTACACTCATCCTCAGCTTCTCTGCACTGGATCCCCGCTTCTGCAGGGGGTCTA